CGAAGGGTTAAGGACCTCTGTAGCCATGGCTTGATTTGGGTTTATTTTAACCATGCTTCAGTTTGTAATAATAATAATAATAATAATAATAATAATAATAATAATAATAATAATAATAATAATAATAGTAGTAGTAGTAGTAGTAATGGTCATCTAGTCCAACCTCCTGCTCAGGCAGGAAACCCTACACCATGTCGGACAAATGGCTGTCCAGTCTCTTCTTAAAAACTTCCAGTGTTGGAGCACCCAAAACTTCTGGAGGCAGGTTGTTCCATTGGTTAATTGTTCTAACTGTCAGGAAGTTTCTCCTTAGTTCTAGGTTGCTTCTCTCCTTGATTAGTTTCCATCCTTGTTGCTTCTTATCCTGCCTTCAGGCGCTTTGGAGGATAGCTTGACTCCCTCTTCTTTGGGGCAGCCCCTGAGATACTGGAACCCTGCTATCATGTCCCCCCTCGTCCTTCTCTTCATTAAACTAGACGTACCCAGGATGACCAGGATCTCTTGCTCTACAGGGTGTAGAATCAGCCTGTGGAAGATCTGAAGAATTCAAGCAAGAAGACATTAATTACTCTGGACTTAATTATTCTTTCCAAATTCTGCAGGAGCAGGGAACATTTATCGTGATCTCAGTCTCCCAATACTTGAGGGAAAATAAGAGGGGGTCTATTATTCTCCAAAGCAGCCGAGGGCAGGACAAGAGGTAATGGGTGGAAGATCAAACCTAGAGCTAAGGAGAAATTTCCTGACAGTGAGGACAATTAATCAGTAGAATAACTTGCCTCTAGAAGCTGTGGGTGCTCCAACACTGGAAGTTTTTGAGAAAAGACTGGACAGCCATTTGTTCAGAGTGATAGCGGGTCTCCTGTTTGGGCAGAGAGTTGGAGCAGAAGATCTATTCCAACTCTTTTTATTCTATGTTATTCTATATTATTCCTGGATCATGAAGGGATGTGAATTGTCCCCTACAGTACTTGTCCTCACATATCCCCCCCACGACCCTTTTTAAAAGACAGGGCAAAAAATAACAACAACAAGAAGTGTAGGATGATTGGCAGATTGGTCTCCATCAGGGACATTCTCCAAAAAGTAAGCCAGGCTGGAACAGGTTTATAGCTGTACGGGAGACCACAAGGAGATCCCAAGGCCAAAGGCTAAATCCCTCTTAAATTAATACTCAGAAAGTTCCATAGAGGTGGCCGGAGTCAAGCCCAGGCCAGGGTTGATTATTCTTTCACTTTATGCACAAATCTTTGTGTAAGGAATCTCAAGAGCATAAAACTCTGCTGGGCCTGTTTTCGGATCTCAAGGAAAACCAAGAACAGGGCATAGGTTGCAAAGCACTTGTGCCTTCTTTTAAAAATCTTTCCTTCTGACTTCCAGACAAGAGCACACACGCACACACACCAAGTCCTGAGTCTGAAAGGGCCATTCATAAATCACAATGTGTTTTCTGGTTGTCGTAGGTATGCGTATCTAGGCATACTTCTCTGCGTAGGCCAAAGCAGGGAAATTTCCTCTAGCACACAAGAAAGCCAGACAATCCAACAGCTTTGAGTTGCTGCCTGCCTGCCTCTCCGCGGAATGAACAATGCCCTAGCAGAAAACCAGCTCATAAAGGACTCTCAGCGTCTCATGTCTCCTTTAAGCTCAAGCATTTAATGAATTTCGCATGACCCACCCACTTTTTTCTCTCTGCACCTCTGTGTCCCAAAGATGCTTTCCCACAAGGCAACTGGACTTTCTTATTTTTCCTTTGAAGATGTTTCCCTTCTCATCCAAGAAGCTTCTTCAGCTCTGATTGGAGGGTGGGGAATGGAAGGATTTATACTCCTTGCAGACAGCTGGTCATTTGCCTTCTTTTAGAGAATCGTTAAGGCCATCTTGGAGGTTTATCTGGATCCTGAAGGTCTCCTGAGTGGTGCAAGTGGGTGTGGAGCCTTCTTGGAACTGCTGAAAGGACTGTGTTATAGACTGGGGATAGATGATGTTGTATCCCTCCTCCTCTATTGAGAGAGAGATGTTCGATTTTGACCTAGATGGCCTCTTGGACCCCTCTTTCAAACCAGTGGTCTTCTCTGTCCAAAATGTGGACTTTGCTAACTTCAAAAGAGCGGCCTTTATCTTTTAAATCAGGGGTCCCCAAACCCTGGTCCGTGGACCAGTACCGGGCTGCGGCATGCCATCAACCGGTCCACACAAACAAGCAAAGCCCCATCCACGAGATGCAGGCAGCACACAAAACCACACACCCTCCGGTCCATGGAAAAATCTCTCTCCACGGAACCGGTCCCTGGTGTCCAAAAGGTTGGGGACCTCTGTTTTTAATGCCGATGGACTGCTGACTCTGGTCCTGATGGGTTTGTTCTCCTTTGTTGTGCCATACAATTATGTTGTTTTGTTTCCCCAATGTACAGATCTGCACATGGCCCACTGCACTTCTGTGATCGCCATAATTGTAGGCAGTCATTCCGTATAGCATGAGTTCTGCTGCTGCTACAGGACCGTGAAAGCCACACATGTTTCAGGGCTCCGTTTTATTGTTAAATTGAGCCATAGCGTTGAGTTTTCTCAATTGTACACTCCCCTTCATGTTTCCTTACACCCAATGCTCAGCTCCTAAGTTCCTCATGGTTGTGAAGTTATCTTTGCAAAGGGTCCAGGTTCTCCCAGATGAAGATACTTGACACATCAAGATATTTGACAATGAAGTCATAAACCCCCAGATAGGATGTGGCGGTGTGTCTTTGCATTAAAGCAGTGATGTCCCAGCAGCAGTTTTTTAAGTGGTTCAATATCATAGCCATCAATTGGGTGCTCACCCACACTCTTCTCTCCCCTCCTCTCTCTCTCTCTCTCTTTCAAATAAAGATTAAAACACTGCATTTTGACCTCACTAAAATACAAAAAAAGAGATTGAAAATGTTGGCTGTACCAACATGTTACTGAACATGGCTTCCCTGCACCACTCAGAGGATCTAAAGCTTTCATTATATATATATATATTTAAAAATTAATGAATGAATTACTATGAATTAATAATGCCCGCTCTAGCTGACCAAAGCTGCCTGCCTTTTTGTTAAGGAGAACAGAGGTTTAAAGAGATGTTAAAATGAGGGAACCCGCAGTTGTTACTGTTGGAGAGAATCCCTGTTATAAAATTGACTGGACTGTCTAGAACACCTGGGTCTAGACTGACGTTTTCGTTTCAAACAACCGCTGGAGCATTTAAGCAATGGCAGAAAGATATAAAGTCCTCCAAGATGCAACAGGATAAGGAAGATTGGGACTTGGGCCATACCTGATGCCAATGCAGAATCTTCAGAAAAAGCCCTGGTTAACACTCCTAAATTAATTTGACTCTGAAGGGTTTGGCTCCAGAACTGGCCTTGAAACACCCAGGTGGCATTTCTGTGACCCAAGCCCTGTTCCTTCTACATTTCTCCTGGAACACACATAAAAAGAGACGAGACTTTGCTTGCAGAATTCCAGCCCCATCTGGACTCCTCAAGGATATCCCCATAATCTTCTTTAACTGCCAAGAACAGGTTGGGGTTAAGACTCCGACTCCATGCTGCAATAGGTAGACACTCTCTGAGCTGCAACCATCCCGACGTCCACCAGAGGGCAGCACCAGGTACAATGATGGGCTTCTTTTGGCTGCCCTCTAGTGGCCGTCTGATGGTTGCAGCTCTACACAGAGCTGCGAGGTGAGACTTTCCTAAAGGAAATGCATGCACCTAATAAACGGCTGCTGGGCTCCTTCTTCTCTCTTTTAGAGCAGTGAGCTGAGATCCGCTTATCCTAGACCAGATTGCTCCATCAACCTTTGGAACTGCAGGCGAATGGTTTTCTTGTGAGGGGCCCTCGGGTGCTCTCTGCGCTTGCTTGTCTCCTTGCAGACGTTTCATGACCCAAAGTAGGTAACATCATCAGTGCTAGAAGGAAGTAGGGTTTGCGGAAAGGAGGAGGAGGAGGAGGAGGAGGAAGACTGTGGGGTCCTTGATGCTCTCTGAGCTTGCTGGTTTTCTTGCAGACGTTTCATGACCCAACTAGGTAACATCATCAGTGCTACAAGGGAGTGGGGTTTGTGGAATGATGGAGGAGGAGGAGGAGGAGGACGACGACTGTGGGGTCCTTGATGCTCTCTGAGCTTGCTTGTTTTCTTGCAGACGTCTATGGAGATTCTCAGTCATCCAGGTCATAGTTATCCCAAAGATGCTTTTTCATTAGCTGAAAGAAGGCAAATGAGCAGCTGGTCTGCAAGGAGTATAAATCCTTCCATTCTTCACCATCCAGTCAGAGTTGAAGAAGCGTCTTGGATGAGAAGCGAAACGTCTTCAAAGAAAAAGAAGGAAAGTCCAGTTGCCTCCTGAAAGAAGCACCTTTGGGTCATCTTGCAGACGTTTCATGACCCAAACTAGCTAACATCATCAGGGCTAGCAAACCAGGTCAGGGAGCGCCAAGCACCCCACCCCACCCCACCACACACACACACACACACACACACACACACACACTCTGAGGTACGAATATTCTCCTTTATTGATTTTTTTTCTTGTATCACTCTACACACACACACACACACACACACACACACGCCAACTCTGAGGTACGAATATTCTCCTTTATTGATAATTTTTTTTCCTGTATCACTCTAACCTGTCCTAGATCTATGGTCCCGTACTCCTGAGTCTACGGTCCGTCGCTCTCCTTTCACGGGCTCCTTCCGTCGGGAAGCCCTCCGCGGCCTCAGATATCTACGTCATCCACGACTGCTTGCTGGGAGATGTAGTCCGTCGCCGGAAGCGCCCTCTCTTTCTGGCCGAGGAGGGGCGGGGCCGGAACTACACCTCCCGAGATGCTCCGGGGACTCCTCCAGGCCGCGTCCTGGAGACGGGAAGCAGCCGGCGGCCTGCTATGGAGGGCCTGCGCGGCTCCCCTCGGCGCCCGGATCCGGATTAGCCGGCGGCGGCGGCGGCGGAGACCCTCCCAGCGGCCTGATGGACGAGAGCAGAGTAAGCGGGGTTCGGGGGGGGGGCTGCCGGGTGGGAGGAGTGGAGTGGGGGGAGGCTTCCGAAGGTTTGCCGCCTTCTTCCGGGTTGCTTTGGACCTGGGATTTCTTAGTGGTCTCCCATCCGAATCGTCCCCGGGCGCTCCCTGCTTCGGTTTTGACAGGCCCTGGGCCTTCGCCGGGCAAAGGGATTTAGGACATCAAGTTTTCCCAAATAAAGAAGCAAAGGGAAGGGCCTCCTCTCGGTCAGCAGCCCCGGGATTTCTTGGTGGTGCCTCGTCCACGGATTAAGAGGGCGGGCTCTTCTCCAACCAGCCCTGGGGATTTTTCACCCGGAAGGAAGGAGCGACTTTGTGTGCTGAGCAGAAGCCTCTGGGCCTTTCTCCTGCCATCCCCCACCCCCCCTGGATCTGCAGGGAGGAATCCGTTCCCTGCTTTTAAAATGGATAAATATTCCCTCCAGGCGAGTCAGGAGACAGTCAGGATCTTCAACGTTTCAAACAACAGAGGCAGAATTTTTAAAAATAAAATAAAAATTAGGGTCTTGGTTTAGACCAGGGTTTTTCAATCTCAGGGACTCAATCTCAGTCCCTTCCATCATCATCATCATCATCATCATCATCATTATTGTTGATCATTGCACAGTCAGCCAGATGTTCACACTGGATTTGGCATTTTTATCCTCCTGTTGAGCCATTATTATTATTATTATTATTATTATTATTATTATTATTATTATTATTATTATTATCATCATTATCATTATCATCATTATTATTATTATTGATGATCATCACGCAGTCAGCCAGATGTTCAGACTGGATTTGGCATTTTTATCCTCCTGTTGAGCCATTATTATTATTATTATTATTATTATTATTATTATTATTATTATCATCATTATCATTATCATCATTATTATTATTATTGATGATCATCACACAGTCAGCCAGATGTTCACACTGGATTTGGCATTTTTATCCTCCTGTTGAGCCATTATTATTATTATTATTATTATTATTATTATTATTATTATTATTATTATTATTATGGATCATCGCACAGTCAGCCAGATGTTCAGACTGGATTTGGCATTTTTGTCTACCTATCGAGTCCTTCCCAAGGACCTGGGATAGGCAGATGTGGAGGTTTGATGGTATTACAGAGACTGTCGCAGGATGGAAGATTATTATTATTATTTTATCATCATCATCATCATCATCTCGGCAACTTCCTCAGTCAGCTAGGGAATTCTGGGAATCCAAGTCGACATAATGTTGCTGATAAACAACATTATGTCGACAGAAACGCTGGTCTAGATTAAAGCGGAATAAACGGTTCATGTTTCCCGCAAGGCTGGCTTGTCGCTGGACTGCTCAAATCTGCCTCCCTCCCAGTTGGTTTCTAATGTCCAGTTGGTTTGTTTTTTTCATAGCAGTCGTTCCAGAGAAACCTGTCTGTGGACATCCTTCCTGACAGATTTTGTTACCTTTTTTTTTTCCTTCTTCCAGGTAGGTGGTGGAAAAGTGAAGAAACCGGGGAAACGGGGCCGTAAGCCAGCTAAAATAGATTTGAAAGCCAAACTCGAGAGAAGCCGGCAGAGCGCTAGGGAATGCCGAGCGAGGAAGAAACTGAGGTACCAGTATCTGGAAGAGCTGGTTTCAAGCCGCGAAAGAGCCATCTGTGCTCTTAGAGAAGAACTGGAAATGGTAATTGCCTCTTCCCTTTTCTCTTTTCCCAAAGTTTTTTTTCTTTTTTAAGTTCCTGAGTTTTCTCGCTGAGGTGCAATTGGTCGCCACGGAGTTTGATTCCTAGTTGATGTTGGGGTAGTTCAAATTCCCCATTATTCCTGCATAGCTTGGCCACTTGGTTACCCACAACCCAGTTGACTTCCCTAAACAGAGATCCTGCCAGGTGTTACACTAGCAAACTTTCTCTGCTTCCCATGCAGTGTGATCACAGGCAACAACGCACACAGTTTATTTATTTATTAAATTTATATTTATTTATTTATTAAATTTATATACCACCCTATCTCCCTTGCGGGACTCAGGGCGGTGAACAGGCGATACTAAAAACCACAATAATAAATAAATAGTTTGTTTTAAAATCGAATTAAAATCGAATTGTAGAGGTCTTGATGAACTCCTAGCATTTTGGACTCAAGGGTCAAGCAGCTGGAGCCACTGATAGCCTGTGGGGAAGAGGCATCAGCCCTGCCTTGTTGTTCCCTGGGCCCGGAGCTGGGCAGCTCAACTTGCGGTGCATCCGGTGGGCCCCGTGGCCAGGGCTTCCAACAGTTGTTGTTGTTGGGACATCTTGAAAATGGGAAGCTGCTGAGACCGTTTTTGTCTCCAAGGCTTTCATGGCTGAGGAAGCCTGCTCAAGGAAGAACACCTGAGAACTAGGGCAGAAGTTTTAGTTTGTTGTCACTCTGCATGTTTACTGTGTGAGTGGCCACGAGGACAGTTTCTCAAAAAGCTGAATGGGGCTTCTTGAAAATTAAAGATAAATGAAAGTCGTGATTTGCCGATTGTGCTGGCTTTGACCGTTAAAGGTCCTGGATGGCGGTAGCTGATATTCAGTGTCAGAAAAAAGCAGAATGTAGCGTCAGGCAGACACTGTGCAGATCTTCCTACATTTTTACATAGGTGCCTTTTCAACATTTACACTCTCGCGTCTGTTTCCTTGTTCCTGCTGCTTGCTCCAAAGAAGGGCACATAACTTTGCAGGATGTTGAGTCCTTGGTGGACTCTTGCTCTGATAGCTCATGAAGTTGTGCAGAATGCCGAAACCTGGATTTATTTGGGCTGATTTACAATTTATTCCAAGCTTACAACAAAGGATCAGTAAATGCCTTCTACGATCCTGGGAACCTCAAAGTTCTAAACCAGGGGTCCCCAACCCCCAGTCCGTGGCATGCCAGCTACCGGGCCGTACAAACAAAGCCCCATCCGTGGGATGCAGGCAGCACACAAAACCACGCACCCTCCGGTCCACGGAAAAACCTCTCCCTGGAGCCCAAAAGGTTGGGGACCTCTGATCCAGACCACAGTAGGGAATGGGGGGGAGAAGGAAGCCAGAATTTCTCTAACTCAGGGGTCCCCAACCCCCTCCCAGGGTTGTAACTTACTACCGGGCCGTGGCTTGTTCGGAACCGGGCCGCAGAACCGGTGGGGGAGTGCGCACGGACACAGTTCCCCCTGCACATGCGAGTACATGCACGTGTGCAAGTCCATTTGTGCGAGCGGCAGACGCATGTGCCAACCGCTCGCGCAAATGGAGGCGTGCGCACACACGAGTGGTAGCCATTCCTTCTCCCACCCACCTCCCTTGCAGGTCCACCAAGCCGGAAAGGGTCGAGGATGGCTGTTCTAAAACCTGGGCATACGGTTGAATGGTTGTTTTGTGGCCCGTCTTTCTCTTCCAGTACAAGCAGTGGTGCCTGGCGATGGATCAGGGCAAAATCCCCTCTGAGATCAAAGCGCTCCTGAGCGGAGAAGAGCAGACCAAGCCTCAGCAGAATGTGGGCAAGATGGCCAAGGCCCTAAAGAGCGATGCCAACAGCCACGGTGCCTGTAAGTTCCAGTTTATGCAATCCTTAACTTCGTGACGGCCCTGGACAGAGGCGGGCAGGGGGCCAAAAGGAAAAAGAAGAAAAACTTGTCGCAATCTGGTTCCTAGGAGACGGTTGTCCTGTGGCTGCCATCCAGCTGTGGTCAAAGGAGAACGGCGGTCTGGCTATGTTGAAGCCCTTCCCAGACCTCCTTGGTGGTCTTGAGTACCAGTAGACCTTTCTACTCATCGTCCAGGCCCCCCAAAAAAGATACTTATGACCCAGTTCTGGAATTCGGGGACTCTCCACGCCCCCACAGTCACATATTTTGAGTGCTTGGCTGCTGGCTGGCTTTTTTACAGCTGGTTGCAGCTTTCTCCAGGCATGTGGCCACGATCTTTTGCTGGTTTCCAGCCTTTTTGACCGAGTTCCAGAAGGAAAAAAAAAACACCCATAAGAATTGGCACACTTTACGACCACCGTGTTTGCTTTATGATGGCTGCAAAAAAAAGGCTGCCTGCTTCGGCTTACTTATGACTCCCATATTTCCCAGTGGAAATACTGGTTCCATTATGGTCCAAGGTCGAGGACTTTTGGAAACGGGAAACGTTGCCGTTGCTATCGGTGTTTCTCTTTGCCACGTATGCCGCCATAGCCGGCACCGCAGCTTAAGTTCCTTTGGCCAAGATCCGTGGTTTTCAACCTTGGCCACTTTTAAGGTGGGTGGAATTCTGGAGCTGAAGTTCACACCTCTTAAAAATGGCCGAGAACAACAAGCGATTCTGCACTTCTGGAATGGGGTCAGCTGGGCTGAGGACGTGCCAAAGCCAGACACACACACCCCCTTTGGGTGGCACCTTGCCAGGCCTCCTGGCCCCTGCAGAGTTCCCCTTCTTGAAACTTATCCTCCCGTTTGGGTTTCTGGTGTTTCTGGATCTGCTCTGGCCATAACGATCCCATTTTTTTTCACGTGGGCTGAGAGAGGCAGATCCCGTTTCTTCCGCCGAGCCTTGAAAACCCATCTATTCCATGCGGCCGGCCTGGCGTAGTTTTGATTTGTGTTTTGGTAGGGGTTTTTATAGGGGGTATTTTAGAGCAGGCTTTTGATTTAATATTTATTGTGATTTTTATTATCGCCTGTTCACCGCCCTGAGTCCCGTAAGGGAGATAGGGCGGTATATAAATTTAAATAAATAAATAATAATAATAATAATAATAATAATAATAATATACAAATAGACCGCAGTTGAGCTTAAAATTTCCTTTGCAAAGTGACACAGTTGTTAGGTTTTTATGACTTTTATTCGCAGTTGTTAAGTGAACCACTGCAGTTGTCCAGTTAGTAACACACTCGTTAATTGAGTCTGTCTTCCCCATTGGCTTTGTGTGTCAGAAGGTCACAAAAAGGGACCCTGGACCCTGTCCCTCGTAAGGACAGGCTGGTTGTCTATGGAGACTCTCTGTCACCCAGATCACAGCTGTCTCAAAGATCTTTTTTTCCCAAAGGGCAACTGGACTATTTTTTCTACTTTTTTTCTTGTTCTGACAAGATGGACACAGATAAACCTGCCCGTGGCCTCAAGAGCTCTCAGGGAGAGTACGAATGGCCAGGTGACTGCAAAGAAATACGATCCTTCCAACCCACCCACCCCCAAACCTGTCAGAACTAACCCTTTCATCGCCCCCACCATCCTGCCAGAACCGATGAAGCTTCTTAGATGATAAGTGAAATGTCTTCCTCAAGGGGAAAAAAACAACAACAGCCTAGCTGTCTTTTGAAAAAGCACTTTTGATACAGGCCAGTCGCCAAGTATTCTGGATTTTGATCCTGTGACCACAGAGATGCTGTATCGGTCATAAGTGTAAAAAACATAAGTCGCTTTTTGTGTGTGTGCCGTTGTAACTTCAGACGGTCACTGACAAGTGGTTGTAAGTTGGGGACCCCCTGCCGGGCTCTCAAGACAGATCTTTCCCCCACCTGCCCTGCTGATTACCTTGAGGCAATCTGCACGTTCCTTGTTCCACGCGTGTGCAAAAAGCTTTTCACACGGCGGTTGTAGATCTCCTGCTAGACATTGAACGAGTCCAGCTTGGGTCCTGGGGAGTTTGTGGATATGTCCGGGCCGTTTTCTTGACAGCGATACTGCGCACAGAAATTATCTTTATTTGCCAAGGGGTTTTTTTTAAGTTCTCAATCATGGCACCAGCCTTGGAACCTTAAGCACACCCATCAACATTTTGTAAAAGTTGCGTGTAGCCCTGGTGGAATAAAGCTGCATGCATTTGTCCGTCAGAGGTCATATTATTTGGAAGAGCTCAATGCAGCTTACTCGTTTTAATCCTTAAACATGGAACAGGGGAGATACAGGGGAGACCCCCTCTGGCCTCTGCCCATGCCTAGGAGGCTGAGGCCCTGAGTTGAGCTTGCCGCCAGGCGCCCCAGGAGCAACATCCCTGATGCTGTTTCCTTCTAGTGTCGCCTTCAGCTGGATCTGCACCTGGGGTGGGCCCTGAACAAAAGCTGACGTGCTATCGAGTTTACGCTGTGCTCCTTCTCTTGCCTCTTCCTTCCAGCCCACGTGGGGATTCTTGGGCAAGGATTGTACCTATTTTTAGTTGGCCATAAATAAATAAAAAAAACAACCCTGCTTGCAGAATTGGGGGCTGACCACATGAAACTCTAACATAAAACACGTCTCTTTTCTCTCGTAGGGTGAAGGTCAGACCAAGCAGATTGAAGCCTATATTTCAAAAAAACAAGATGATCTGTTGTTGTTGTTGTTTAAAAAAAAAATCAGTAATCTATGGACTTCATGTGAAGTTGAGCATCCTCGGTCCTATCAACAGTTCAACAGCGTCAACAATTCAGCTGCACCGTAGTTGAGAGTTTGAGCTGACTTTCAAAATGGCCCGAACAGCAAGAGGGCAGAAATAAATCATCTTAATCTGTTTTTATCTAATAAAACAATATTCCTGGGTCTGCAGGAATATCTGCCCGAAGCCGAGAAAGAAAGGCCCAAGATTATACCAGCCCCAAGTCTATTCCAAAATGTATTAGACGCTCTGGGGTTGATTTTGTGGGTAGAACTGGCTGAGAAAAAGGGGAAGGATTTCCCCCCCCCCAGGGATTGGGGCCCCCAAACTCTCCTTTGTTGTGTTAACCTATAATTATGCTTTCGATTTTGTTTTCATCATTTACTATATTTAGTGTTTATTTAAGGAAAATACTATACAGATAGAAAAGTAGAGTTTTATTATTCATGGGATGGCCTGTTTTGCATTAGAGAAAGATAGAGATATAGTGGAGTGTTTTTCAAACTGGGCCATTTTAAGATCCTTGGACTTCAACTCCCAGAATTCCCCAACCAGCACGGCCATTGATGTGAATTCTGGTAGGTGAAGTCCAAGTGGTCAAGGTTGAAAAATACTGAGGTAACGCATGCTGATATATCTTGCTGTAGGTGGCCAATATGTCACCTTCCTCTTTTCCTTCTTCTGTTGTTTCTGAATTAGTGAAGTTTAGGCTCTACTTGTGAATTGTGAAATCCTTGACTCCCAGGTCATCTCAGTCTTAAGATTATGTTCTTTAAGAGAAGGTGCTCTACCTGCAGTTTGGGGGTGAAGATATTGGTTTTAGATCAGGGGTCTTCAAACTTGGCCCTTTTATGACTTGTGGACTTCAAGTCCCAGAATTCCTCAGCCACTGTGGATCGAGTTGACTATTTGAATTAAGTTCAATGCTAAATTCAAGACTTCCTCATTAGATGAATTAGTCATATGAGCAGCAGTGAAATAACTCTTCAGTGTCGTGGTTAGTTTATATTTTCTAAACCTGCATGATTGCGCCTTTGCTTAGACTGCTTATTAATAGGTACCACACAAAATCATTGTAGTCTCTCTGTCTGTCTCTGTCTCTCTCTCTGTCTCTCTCTGTCTCAATCTTTCTCTCTCTCTCTCTTTTTTTTTTTTTTTTTTTGCTCAATGCAGTCATGGAGAAGTTTAATAAGGAACACACCCCACCTAGCTGGCTAGAGAAAGAGGGGAACAGAAGTAGCTTGCCCATTTCCTCCACCTTGCCTTCTCTCCTGGTCACAGACCTTATTGTCTACTTTTGACATGAAAGGGTAAGAAGGACCTGAGAATTTGTGGAGAAAGGCCAGCAAATGGATGTAGCATCCAGGATGCTTCATACTTTCCGTTCCACGGGAACGTTCCACGGGAACGGTGTACCTGTAGTATTGAGTGTTGGAAAGGGAATAATATTGGAAACTTACAGCCTAACGCTGTGTGCATTTTTGTTGCAGGGGGACAAAATGCTTACATCATTGTGAGACCCTTTGGTATTAAAGTGGATGTAATAAAGCCTTTGCTGTCCTTTATTAAAAGGGTTACTGACAGAGGGCAGGGTTGAAAAAAGAACGTCACCATCATGCCAGGAACGCCCAAACCCGATAGCGCAGAAAATAACGCGAACCTACTTAGTTTTGTAGGGTATTAAAACAAAACTTCTGTTTTAATGAAGGTTTCCTTTCTGTAAGGAAGATGGTGATTTCTAGCGATCGTATGGCGTGTGGGTAAAATGTGCAACTTTCTTCCTTCTATGGCGCCAAGCCACCCAGCTCCTAAAAGGAATTAAACAATAAATTGCAGTATTTGCGAAACCTCAAAGAAGCAGTGAATTCTTCCTTGCAAACCTGTTTTGGAGTCCAAGGCCCTGGGACGCTGGCCTTAGCTGGCAAAGGCAGAGGTTAATCCTCTCGATCCCAGCGTTTCTCGGCCTTAGCCACTTTAAGGTAGGTGGACTTCAACTCCCAGAAAACCCCAGCCACCACATTTTGCTGGCTGGGGCATTTTGGGAGTTGAAGTCCACACGCCTTAAAATTGCTAAGGTTGAAAAATGGTGCTCTAGCATGGAGGCCCCCAACCTTTTGGGCACCAGGGACCGCTTCCGTGGAGAAAGGTTTTTCCGTGGACCGGAAAGTGCGTGGTTTTGTGTGCTGCCTGCATCCCACGGATGGGGCTTTGCTTGTTTGTGTGGACCGGTTGCCGCCATGCTGCGGCCCGGTACCGGTCCACGGACCGGGGGTTGGAGACCCCTCTAGCATTTCCAGGAGGTCTGAGAGATTTCTCTCTTTTGCTGCTCTTCGGGGCCTCTGGAATAGGCAAGTGGGGCTGACAGTTACAGAAAAGGAGACGACCGAGGACTCGCTCGTTTTTAACCTAAGCCAGCCTACAGCACCGAGAACACAAAGCGTGGAGCTTCATCAGCCGTTGTAGGGTCATTTGTTGTGGACCTAACAGCAATGAAGACTCTTTCGGAGCCTTCCTCTGCCCAGGCGACCTGGGTCATAACAGGACAGGATAAAGTTATTCTCTTCTTCATTGAGATTTAATGTCTACCGATCCAGAGCATGAGAAGAACAGCAACCAGACCCTTATCGGTATGCCTCTCGCAATGCTTTACCAGGGGAAGATTTCTGAAATTAGGGACTGTTGGAACACACAAACCCAGTTTCCAGGTGTGGAAAAACCAGCGTTCCATCGCAAACTTCCTACTGGATCCATTCCTTTCTACATAACGGCCTGATCTACACTCATCGGTCAGGTTTGACTCTACAAGTTCAAACGCAGAGAGCAAGAATGAATTGTCGGTGTCTGACGGGGAACGATTATTCTAAAGAAGTCTGCAGCTTTAAAACAACGCAGTGTCGGAGATAAAAGAAGCAGATTCAATAAAAACAGAGCATTTATTCTCCCTGCTCCATTATATGGAGATCCTTCGTGTCAACGGCATCTGTTCAAAGGAGTGGTAGTGTTCGCCCGTTTGTTTAGGCTGAAGAGTCTTCGAAAGGACTGGCGTTAATTACACAAATGTGTTTGGTGGGTTTGAATTAATAGGCCAGGCAAGTTTTTTCTCTTTCACGTCTCTGTTGAAGGAATCATACATGCTGTCTTTGCAAACCGTTTTTGGTGCGGTGGGGAATTCTGAGATCCCCACGTAATTTTTCTTGGCCATCTTGGAGCTGGTTGTGACGGTGTAGGCATTACTCCGGTAACACTTCATGGCGGACATACAGAAAGTCTCTCGTATCCCCCTCCTGAAGTTGGCATTATACGCCGAGTACAACATGGGCTTCAAGGCCGAGGAACTAAACGATATCCAGGTCGCCATCAAAAAAACCAAGGCGCTTTTCCTACGGTCGGTCTCGGACGGGTGCCAAAGCTGAACCACGTAAAAGGGGAGCCACGAGAGGAGAAAGAGAGCATTTAACATCAGGAACATTTTGATGGTTTTCACCTTGGTCCTCGGGACCACGTTCATCGTCCTCCGGACCGTTCTGCCCTCGCTCCCGATCTTCCAAATGTGCTTGATGACTTTTTGGTAAAAGAAAACGATGAGAACCGATGGAATCAGGAAAGCTACTACGACGTGAATGACGCTATAAACAGCCCCGTCCCAAGAATGGGGAGGGAAAAACCGGCAGTGACGGTCCCTGTCCAAGCCCCCAAAAATGAACACTGGAGACATCAAGGCCGCACTGAAGATCCAAGAGGCCGCAATCATTTTCTTGGCTTTTTCCCTCGTCACCTTGAAACTCAGCGGGTAGACAATAGTGTAGAATCTGTCGATGCAGATGGAAAGCAGGACATACATTTGGACCCCGGGGGTGACATATTGAAAATACCTGATGGTCTTGCACATCATGCTCCCGTAGGTCCACCCATCGGAGGCCAACTGGAACAGTACGAGCGGCGTGCATCCAATACTGATCAGCAAGTCTGCACAGGCCATGGAGACCACGAAGTAATTGGTGGTTGACTGGGTCCTCCTGCTCCTGTAGATGACCAGGCAGACCAGGGAGTTTCCGAAGACGGAGAAGAACCATAACACCCCCCAAAGCAAGCTGACAAGGATAATTTCTCCAGGCACCAACTCGTACTGTGAAGCTGTACTGTTTTTCTCCAAGCCCGGTTCATTGGACAAGGTGGTGGCCTCGGGGCTTCCCAAAGGATTGGAGGTTTCTGCCTGAGGGTGGCTTTGTTGCAGGAGACCTGAGGTTGAAGTGAGGAGAGGAGTAGTGTGCTGATCCATGTCTTGGGACAGCAGCATACTCAGTCTTTCCCTGAGAGGACTGTATGGAGAGAAAGACCCATCAGTTGTTTCAGGAGTAAAGGAATAGCAGCAATCATCACTTCGTCTTCACGACAGAGTAAGAGTTGGGAGGAGCCTTGGAGGTCTTCTAGTCCAGGGGTCCTCAACCTTGGCAACTTTAAGACTTGTGGACTTCAACTCCCAGCTTTGCTGGCTGAGGAATTCTGGGAGTTGAAGTCCACAAGTCTTAAAGTTGCCAAGGTTGAGGACCCCTGTTCTAGTCCAACACACCACTCAAGCAGGAGACCCTCTACCGTTCCAGACAAATGGCTTCCTGACCCCTCCTTAACAACCTCCAGTGATGGAGCACCCACAACTTCTGGAGGCAAGCCGTTCCACTGGTTAATTGTCCTCTCTATCAGGAGATTTCTCCTTAACAGTGAGAACAGTAAACCAGTGGAACGGATTACCTTCAGAAGTTACATGCTACACATTACATGTTACATGCTGGATTAACTGAGTAGCATGCATTCCTAGTGATTGCGGGATATACGTAAACAGGGTAGGATGCAATGACTCTCCTGGAAAAGATGAGTAAGATTACAGATCTGGAAAAAAATGCTTCACCCACCCAAGATCCTACTCAAGGAATCCTCCAACAAAGGAGCTGAGCCCAGAACTGATGGTCTTCAACTAATGGCTCATACAGGAGTTTTTTAAGTCACAGATCTGGCCAATGCTTAAGTGTTGACTGTCCTCACTCTCAGGAAATTCCTCCTTAGTTCCAGGTTGCTTCTCTCCTTGCTTAGTTTCCATCCGTTGCTTCTTGTCCTGCCTTCGGGTGCTTTGGAGAATAGCTTGACTCCCTCTTCTTTGGGGCAGCCCCTGAGATACTGGAAAGCTGCTATCATGTCACCCCTGGTCCTCCTTTTCATTAAACTAGACCTACCCAATTTCTGCAACCGTTCTTCATATATTTGCCTCCAGAAAAAAGTCAAGATGGAGCCTATCAAACATTTTCCAAAGGACCAAGCCAGATACCAACAGGCACGGTCTCTGAGCTTCATCTTCACCTTTCTCAAGTGGGGCATCTGTAGAGTTTCTCCTGGGTAGATTGAACTGGTTGGACTGGATCCAATAGGATAATACATGCATAGCAATAGGGGCTGCTAACTTCTATTGTAATCAGAATTGAATACACTTTACATCAGGGGTCTTCAAACTCGGCCCTTATTATGACTCCTGGACTTCAACTCCCAGATTTCCTCAGCCAGGCACGCCGGCTGAGGAATTCTGGGAGTTGTAGTCCACGAGTCATAAAAGGGCCGAGTTTGAAGACCCCTGCTTTCCATAGTGACTCCTCAAAATTGTGTAATTCGGGTTAGCAACATTTTATCTCCTTTTTAGGGATGGAGATAAATCTCCTTTCTTTAGAACAATATCGTTCTTATCAGCCTTCTTATATTGGTGATTGGATTTAAATGAATGTCTCTTTGGTTATTAGGTATGTCTTCAATACATTGATTTAGGGATATGAATCCTGGTTCCTAGCACTTGGCTTTATTTTCAGTTAATAGGATATGAAAAGGTTAATTAGCTTCCTTAAAAAGCATTACTTTGGCACGAAGGATTGGTTTCTTTTGTTAATTTCTGAAAGGGCTTCACGACATTCAAACTGCAGTAAGTCCCAGCATGTGTCATGTAATAAGGACCTAAAAATGCATGATCCAGTCCTAACACAAACGGACAGACAGCAGAGTGGAACAAGACGTTTTGTCCCAACGTATGTGCTGTTTCATGCTTTCTGTATTTCAATGCATTTAAGATTCAGAACCAAAGCAGAGATATCTTTTGGGGGGAAAATAAGAAGAAGTGGGTTAAAAAAAGCCCTCTCTGTTTGAACATTTATTCCTAGGGAGCTTTCAAAAAGATACCAACTTACTGAATATCTATAACTCAGGGTTGAACTGTGGAGTCCTGGATGCTCTCTCAGCTTGCTGGTTTTCTTCCAGACGTCTCATTACCCAAATTAGGTAACATCATCAGTGCTAGAAGGGAGTGGGGTTTGTGGAGAGGGGGAGGAGGAGGAGGAGGAGGACTGTGGGGTCATTGGTGTTCTCTGAGCTTGGTGGTTTTCTTGCAGACGTTTCATTACCCAACTAGGTAACATCATCAGAGAGAATGAAGGATGCCATAGATACCAAGTTAATGCTTTTTCTTCTGTGAATTATCCTCTGCTTCGTTTTGCTTCTGTGAACTACAATCAAGGCAGCTGCAGCTCCATTCTGCATCAGACCCAAGTCCCATTCCTGCACACAAGACCAGTCAGGGCCCAGCCAGGAAGCCATGACTGGGATATTGGCAAACTATGTCTTCTCCCTCGTCCATTAGCCACGGACCGTCTTTCCCTTCCTTAATTTCCTTCTGAGTTCCTCTTAAAAATCAACTAACTCAACTAAAGCCTTATGGCTGCATACCCCATATATTAAATATGTATAGAATCAAGAATTTTTCACTGGGTATTTTCCAGGCATTGAGTCTCTATAAAGGCATTTGCTTTAATTGCATTTTTTTCCCCAAACACACTGCGAATCTTTTTTTTTAATCAATGATGTACTAAATACTAACTTTAAAACAACATCTCAGCATATGTATACGCCTCCTTGAATCAAATCAGTCATATCAAATCAAATCAAATCAAATCAAATCAGACTAATAAAGAAGTTATACTATTTAATAGGGTCATTTTGGATTGTAAGATGGGCAGCGTATTAAATAAATAAATACATTTGATTCTATGAAATTTAAATGGAAAAGGGATTAAATTGGATCGAAATATTCCCATGTCTAAAATACTTAGGTGTACAAACATTCTAATATTTGAGGGGCTGCCACAAAGAAGAGGGGGGGGTGTCAACCTTTTCTCCAAAGCACCTGAAGGCAGGACAAGAAGTTAATGGATGGATCAAGGAGAGAAGCAACCTAGAACTAGAAATGTCCAGACAGTTAGAACAATTAACCAGTGGAACAACTTGCCTCCAGAAGTTGTGAATGCTCCAACAATGGAAGTTTTTAAGAAGAGACTGGACAGCAGCCATTTGTCTGAAATGGTATAGGGTTTCCTGCCTAAGCAGGGGGTTGGATTAGATGACCTCCAAGGTCCCTTCCAATTCTGTTATTCTATTCTATCATCCACTGTCTTTCATGGTCTGTGGCTTTCTTTCTATTTTCTCTCAATTCAATGTGCATATTCCTCATTTATTTCTCTTTCTGCTTTTACATTTAGGAATAATTGTCTGTTGAGTGTTCAGTCCTGGAGTTCTCCATGCCACCATGTTCAGTGGTAGGCAGTCACAGTACTGAATATCGGCATGAATCCAGACTATTGGTCCACTGACATCAATATTGTGTTTCTTGATTAGTGTCCACCCTTTTGCACAAATCTCCTTTCCAGACTTGCCACAAGAGATATTTGATGTGCCAGTTTTGATCCTGTAGTTGCAAACTGCAGACCCACAAACCTAGATAGAGCCTCACCATCTACAGAATGCAGAAAGAACCTGGGCCACTGGCTGTTCTAATGAGAAGAATAACTGGTAGCTAAAAGGATGTGAGGTGGCTGAACTGATTTCATTTTTTTTATTTAAATGTCTACCATTGATCCTGTAGCCACACTAGCAAGGTCCCAAGAAAAAGAACATTAAAATTAAATTTTGAATGGTTTCCCCTGATCCAATCACCCACTTCCCAGAAGGAAGAACGCAGAATGAGCCCCCTACCTGTTTCCAAGCATAATCCCAAACTCAGCCAAGTTCCCCATGGAGAATTTTGGTTGCGGGGGCCCATTTCATTTTGGAGACCAGTTCCAACATTCACCGTCGCTCTACATCTGGATGTCGGCCCGCCGGGGGTTAAACGAAAGTCAAACATGTTGCGCTGCCTTCTCGCCCTGGAAAAAGAAATAAGAGATTTGGCTTAGAACTGGGTGCTGACACCCCTTGCAAACTCCTAAAGCGGATCACATGGGAGACGAGTCACGTGGCTCCTTCCCCATAGAGCTAAATTAAAACTCGCCCCCCCATCTCTTTTCTTTAAAAAAAAAAAAGCTACTCAAGAAAAAGCCCATTGCACTCAACAGCCAGCCCTCAAATTTATGTGCATACATTCTCAGCTCTTAGGGGGAACTTGCCTGTAATACCCAAGGGGGGGAATTGACCAGCCCCCCCCCCCGCCTTGTTGGAAGCCATTCATGCTGTGCGTAAACGAGGGACTTGCAGCACCATGGACAGCGGCAGACTCTCCCAAGGACGGCCATTCCTAAGGGACCTCAAACTGTTGCTTCTCTTGGGGGGCTTCATTAACCCCTTCCCGGGGCAGACCTGAGGTTCATAGAATCCTAGACTCACAGGGCTGGATGGGACCTTTGAGGTCTTCTAGTCCAGCCCCCCTATCCAAGGCAAGAGACCTTATTGCCTCCCAGACCACCGGCTGTCCAATCTTGAAGGTCTCCCGTGATGGAGCACCACAACTCCCGGAGTCAACCTTTTCCATTGATTGATTGTTTTTATTGTCAGGAAATCCCTCCTTAGTTCCAGGTTGGATCCCTTTCTAAGGAGCTCCCACCCACGGCTTCTCGCCTGGCCCTCATGGGCCAAGAACGGCAGCCCCCCTCCAACTGAACTCCGTTCACCTCAAAACCCCCCACCCCACTCTTACCTTTGCCATCCCCCCCAAGGGGAAAGGCTCCCTCCTCCCGGCCGTGGCTCTGCCTCTCATCTCGCAGGCGGCCTGGCTCCATCCCTTTCGCCTCCAACTCTTCCGATCACAAGGAAGGAGAGACTCAGATGGCATCCAGCTGCCGTCTCATGCTGACGTCCTGGTTGCCATGGAGCTGAGGGATTGTTGGAGGGGATGGTTTTCTTTAGCCCCCGTCGCCCTGCCCCCCCCCATAAGAGTGGAAGAGGGGGGGAAAGCAGGAACGGCGAGGAGACGGCATTTCTCCAGATCCAGGAAAACAA